CACACACACACACACACACACACACACACACACAGAGGTTGCCACATGATTTTCCCAGTAAAGCATAGGAACAACAGCGCAGTTCGTTTTTTTTTTTTTTTTTCCTGTAGTTCTTGTTCTGTCCACACATAGAACTCATTGCAGTATGCCCATCCACAACCTTTCCCCAAACGGCACATGCTGTCCACAGTGAACTCAAGCAGAAGCAATTAATCAGTGCTGAATACCAATTTCGTTCTTTGCTCTTTCGAGATCAAATGAAACACAACTCACCTACTATCCATAGACCAGACCAGATACATGAAAGCCGAATTCATCGTTACTCCCCTAGTCTGTCAGGCATTTCGAGCATATCCGGCATGTGATTCCTTGACCGACAGCACACACAGCTTTGGAGACAGGATATGAGAGAGAGAGAGAAAGGGAGACACTTGACAGATTTATAGAGCGAGTTGCAGGTAGGGATGCAGGATAGAAGGCGAGGAGGATAGTCGAGGAAGGATACTCAGACATTTTCAAGAAAGGGGAGAGATGGCGTGAAGCCGACAAGCAAGGGGATCAGTCGAGGTGCAGGGTTAGCCAATTGAGGCGCACCCATCTCCACACCTCAATCCGACCAAACTTGCAGGCAGCCAATGGCGAGCATGAAGGCGGAAGATGAACTGATGCAAGAACGAAGACAGGGAGCAAAGATAGAGAGATGTGGGAGAGCAAAAAGTTCCAATTAGTGTGAGTGTGTGCAGACCGTCGAACTTCTCCTGAACATGGGCGTGGGAAGACGAGTGGAAACCTCTGCTTTACTTCTACAAGTCCTTCCCAAAAAGAACTACCCACTACTCAAAATTGATGAATTCTCCAAATCAAAAGGAGATTTTCACTTGTCCTTCGGGACATCCATTAAAATTGGAATGAATACAGAGAAGATTAGCATGGCCCCTGCCCAAGTAAGGATGACACGCATAAATCGAGAAATGGTCCAAGGAGAATTTCACTTAGTGTACAGGAATCCCAAGAGCAGCCTCGACCTCGAAGCGTGTGTAAACTGGCATAGTATGCTAAGTTGCTCATCACAATCCACTCAGTTAGCAGAGTGTTATCTTGGAAGAAAGACTTTTTCTAATCACAGGAGAGATCCTTGACCCACGATGTCCTTCACCCTCTCTCCTCGCAACGGCCATCTTCTTGCCACGCTAAGGAATCAAGAGGCAGTGTAGCGGAAGAAGACTTGGGAACTTAACGAAATTTGGTTGACACAGAGAAACGTTGAGACTGCGTAGCGGAAGAAGACTTGGGAACTGTGTGCAGGCACAACTAAGACATGGCAAGAGAGGTTGCGATGCCGACTAGCTTCTTCCCCCGAATATAATGCACAGTCATTACCTCTGTACCCTGGCCTGAAAGTTACACTAAATAGTAAATAGTAAATACAGCTATAACGACTGGGCATTGTGTTCGGAGGAGAAAGGTCCCCTCCTATCCTTCGATCCCCCATTGTCTTCTGTCTATGTTTCCTAGTTTTTTTTCCTTTTTTTCTAAGCTGTCTCCTCCTTATATATGGGGGACAGCTGGATTCACTACAATATTTTCTTCACTCAATAATTTTTCCACCTCACACTAGCTACCTACATACTCTGTGGTATCTACCCACATATCGGGAGGAGGTAGTCATTGTGGGTACACGACTGCCAGCACGTCCAGACATTCCTAATACCACTGTTCTTGCCAGCTATTCTGCAGACGACACTGCATGGTATTCGCGAAGGTGGGGAGAGTGGGAGCATCGGAAGCGCAGAATTCATAGCATGCCCATTTTCAGGGTGAAGCCAGCGCTTGGCCAGGGAAGAAGGGGAGGAGGTAGTCATTGCGGAAGAGACAGAAAAGGTGGCAGAAGAGTGATTGGAGAACGATGAACGCAGCAATCAATGTGCGAGGGTCTGCACCCGGCGCAACACATTGATCACAGATCCATCCTCCTTGTCCAATTGGGAAGGAGAATGAAGGTGACGCAAGAGACCAAGGGACGAGGGTTGAGGAAGGGGGAGTTGAAAAGGTAGACGGCGAGAAAGGTAGAAGTGGCCAAGGCATCCACATGAGAAGCCGTTGAGATAAAGCAGCAAGAATGAAGGACGTGTTGTGTCCAAGATCAAGAATGAGGAAGAAGGAAGACAAGATGTCACATGCCAGAGTGGCGCAGACCAGAACCAAGAACCGGCCTCTCAAAAATGGAGCAATGATAGCACAGCGGAAGACTGAAATACCAACAATCAGACCCAATCAATGTCGTGACACAGACTGAACACCAACATCATCATCATCATCATCATGCAGTGTGAGGGACCTGGCGCCAAATACAGAGACGAAGGGCGCTAGGTAGGAACTCATACATGGATGAGGAGGAGAGAGGAGAGACGAAGGTGGGGGAGATAAGGAGAATGTCGCCAACTCAAGATGTCGTCGATACTGATCCAAAAATAGTCCCACACGATGTCTCGGCCCCAATGTCAAGTCTTAATCCAACTGCCGCCAAATCCAACTGTCGCCAAATCCCAATGTCGCAAATCTCTCTCTCTCTCTCTCTCTCTCTCTCTCTCTCTCTCTCTCTCTCTCTCTCTCTCTCTCTCTCTCTCTCTCTCTCTCT